TATATATATATATATTACACACACACACACCAATAAATATATAATTATGGTCATTTAATGCACAAATCTGAGAAAATTCAGTAATTTAACCTTTAAGGTCAAGGTCATTAAAGAGTCCGAGCAAATTTGGGTTTGATAAACAACAAGGTCTGGTCCTTAAGAATGTTCTGTTATAATATGAAGTTGATCCCTTCAATAATAGCAAAGTTACAGTCAGTTACCGCCACAACAATGAAAATTTCAATAATTTGACCTTCAAAGACAATGTCATTAATGAGTGAAGGTCAAGGTCTTTCGGTATATTTTTAACAGTTATCTTTGAAGATTATTATGTTCAAGTTTCAAGACAATCCATTCAAAAATAACAAAGTTACAGCCAATAATAGCCAAAAAATGAAAATTTCAATAATTTGCCCCTTCAAAGTCAAGGTCATTTATGAGTGAAGGTCAAGGTCTGGCTGGTTATTTTTAAGGGATATCCTGGAAGATTATTATGTTCAAGTTTGAAGACAATCCATTCAAAAATAACAAAGTAACAGCCAATAACAGCATGAACAAGCAAAAATTGGACTTTTAACCTTGAAGGTCAAGGTCATTTATGGATGAAGGTCAAGGTTAGTGTGGTCTACTGAACGGTCTTGTCCCAAGGGTTGTTGTGGTCAAGTGTGAAGACAATACACCAAGAAATAAAAAAGTTATGATCCAGGTACAAGTTTGCGGACGGCAACGGCAACGGCAACGCCGACCCGACTATAACAATACCTCTACTTTTTTTTTTCAAAAAAAAAGTCGAGCTAAATAAAAATGATAAAGCACTTTTTAATACCCTAATGTCGCTAATCATAATTTGTTTTAAAAAGTGTTTGCCTACATATTATTCTGGATAAAATATAACCAAAAGCATATGGCTCATAGATACTGATGCCTTTTGTATACAGCAACTATAGCACTATAGACGTTTTCATACAACCCAAACTGTATGTAATGAACATGTCTGGAAAGAAAAGTGAAAATACTGGTCATATTGTTCAAATTATGGCTTGGGGTTAATGAATGCTTACTTGATGTGATCATTATGAATTTCATATATGCAAATGTTCAAAGCTTCATAAATTTTATGAAATAAATGCTTTTCGAATAGTTTAATTTCCGAGTTTTATACCTGCTTATTGAGAATAAGTGATAAACACAAATACATCAAGTCCAGGATGGTAAAAAGATAGGTAAAATTTACTTAGTTGTTAGAATACATAATACTTAATCTTAATGAAAACAAACAACAATTTGTGAATTTAATGGGATAAGATAAATGCAATGAAACAGGAAATCTGGCATTGATGGCACCTGATAATTAACACAAAATTATGGGCCAAAAATCATAACTGCTTAATTTCAAATTAAACAATGGGAGATCTTAAAGTTCTTCATGGTCGATCATTTGAGACTATTTGAAGAAGCGTTTTTCTTTTACTTTTTACACAGTATTATCATGATTTATAAATTTTTTTTTTTTTCAGGAAGTTGGAGCTAAGAAGAAAGTTAGATTATCATTACCTTGGCAGGTAAAGTTTGATATGCGATCTTAAATTTCTTCATGTTCGACCATTGAAACTATTTGAAATAGTGTTGTTTTCTTTTTACACAGTATTACCATGATTTATAAATTGTTTTTTCAGGATAATAAGAAGTTCATATGAAGTCCAACTCAGGTAAAGTTTGATATATGTCTAATTATTTTTGTTATATATGTATTTATCTGTTAGAAAATGAGTACCTCGCTCTACGATTATGTAAATTCATATATTGGTTTCCCCTTGGTTGATACGCAACATGGTATATCAACAAATGAGAATATAACTCGTCACCGACTGGAAAGGCAGTATAGAAGACAAAACAACAAAACAAACTTTTTATAGTTTTATAGAACTTACAAATGTGTTAAATAAAAAAGAAAACTGTGTACACAAATACAGTTTTCAAGGTATCTATATACAAACATCTTTCTCCAAGATATTTGGGTCATTTTTGTACTTTTACTGGAGGATCTAGTATGAAAAAATCAACCTTATTTCTTAATCAATATTTAGACTGATATATTCTTTTAACGGCATATGACACACAATATGTTAAGCTTATCAATGAATGAACAAAAACCTTTCCTTATAAATACAATTATTAAGGTAAAGTAAAATAATCTCTATAATAGAATTACTAAGTAAATGTTTACTTTTTACTTTCTATAATAAAAGGTTACTAGGTCCTAGTGTTATAGTAGTTATAGATACCTTAAGCAATATGATAAATGATAATTGTTTTAATTGCCTTTTGACGAGTTTCCATAAATATTTATAATACTGTTTTTTAAAGGTCCGTTAATAATAATTATGCAACGATATGTAGACGGTTGATAGGTCAGTTACTATTTTCCTCGAAAATCTTAAATGTGAACGAATAAGGGTAAAACTTACAGTCATATACGTATAAACACCTTTAAGAAAAAAGAAAGAAAGAATTTGATACCTTTATACAACGATTTATAAAATAATACATTGACGATTTTAAATATCATAATTTGTAATACCTATTTTTTTGTCCCAGGATTAATCAAAACGCTGAAAGAGATATATTTCTAAATAACTCCCGTTGTACATGCACGATATCCCCCTCGTAAATATCAAGTAAAAATGTTCTGACTTCACACATAAGGGTAGATATTTTATGCTTAAAACTCAACATGTTATAGATGAATTTAATACACTGATATATTACTTGTTAAAATATTTAGTAACACAATTGCCTATGATTTCAACTGATAATGAGAGTCACTCGACCGATTTGTTTGCGGCCCAGGATCGAAAGATCATAATCATTATCGGCCTGCTTGTCAGGAGAAATGTCTGCCTATCTAAGGAATGATTTCGTAATAAATACTAGAAGCAATTTCCAAGATATGGGGGCTGGGCAGCACCGCCTGACATAAAAGTGAAATATTCTCAGTTGGAAAAATCTAGCATATAATTGTTTAGTTAACTCTATTTTTTTTAGGTATTTTTATCTTTTTCTAGCTCAAATCAATATATACATTTAAACAACAAACTCTGATAATTATCTACACCCAAAACAAATAACTTTGATCATTATTTACACCCAAAACAAACACACGTCATTTATCAGCCACTTATACGAAATATTTTTTCACGTATACGTCTTTTATACGAAACAGTACTAGACACCTGGCGAGCCCAAGCTCTAAACAACTTATGATCAAACAAAACAATAAAATCACCACAAAATGAAGAACACAGAAATGACTTTTTTTACAACTCTAAGATGCAGTATAAACCACAAACATTCATCCAATAATATTAACTTCACACAATCTAATCAGCATCAGAAAAGAAACTAAAGCACCCAATATTTACACATATCCTCAAAACAAAGCATCAACTTATATAATCTTGACCAGACAAACATTCAACCAATATCAACCAATTATATCAACCAACCAATTATATCTTCACAGACAGATATAATTCAACAACCAAAACAACTAATTACAACCAATAAACCCTGATCAATTAAGATCCCCACAATTATATTCAACCAACTTTAACAAACCAACAAAACCAAATTCTCTTCTCAACAAAAAAATAAACGCTACACACTATCAGCGTGTCTCTCCTAAACTGATGTAAAATCTCTCTCAAAACGCGCATATTTGCTAGCTTAAACGATCTGACCTTTACATGTAGATATATTTTATACTCCCAGCAACAGGTTTATAAATGAAACTGTACATTGAAATCTGATACACTTCAGTGTATCGCTGACTCGTTGTAAAAAAACTATCTACAGTGAAACTGTATGATTATTCTGACACTGCTGAACTTACGTACACAAAATGTAAAAAATGACGTCACATTTTACGTCATCAAAACAAAAAAAAAGTGAAAGGAGGTTTTAAGCACAATCGGTTAATTTTTTGATGATAACTTAAGCTTTTTTTCTACAAACGATTGAAAATTAATAAAAAAAACACAAAACAAATTCATTAAAAAAATGCTGAATCCCTCGATGCAATCATTAATTTTTTCCGGGCCGATTATCACTATACGAACCTAATCAGCCGTGTATTATTATCTTAATACTGTAAAGTGTCATTAAAGAAACGACCAACATTTACATGACCTGTAATAGGGAGCTCTGCATCCCATACATAGTGTAGCTTTCTTTTAATTATATTAAGCAACGTAATGAATTAAATTTGTGTAAGAATTGTGTACATATTAAGAAAAGATCCCTTTATCTAGGTAAGCGACTTCGTTTCGTAATTTTAAAAGTTATCATTATTATCAATATTATTACTTGTTTGTGCCAATATTATAATTGAAATAAATATCAAACGCACATTTTTAATTTGTGATTCAGAATGAAATTTGTGTTTAAACTGATCATTAGGAATAATATAGCAGGGATGATTTGGCAAGGTATCTGTCAAGAGCGCATTTGTTGGTTTTGTTTTTACTTTTCGTGGAGTTTCTCAATTAATGCATTACATCAACATTTGAACTTGTCAATAATTGTTATTCGAAATTGTGGCAATTTCATTAATACAATGGTGTAAGGTGGACTGTAAATATCATTACAGTAAATGTATTATTGTCATATGTTTTTGTACACATATGTAAAATGCCGTTGAAAGGGTATAGATGTGCCGTAAATGCAGAACTGTAAGATAATTCTCAGTGAAATAAATTCAAACTGTACAGGTTTGCAAAAGTAATGTTAAATGCATGTGTGCACTGCATAAAAAGGCATTCATGTAAAGTGTATTGTTTTAAAATACATAATACATTTAAACATTGCTGTAAAATATGTTTGTACATGCATTGTTGTAAATTTTAAAGTGATATTTCAATGGCATTTTTATTATTTTTATTTTCTTAAGTACGATATATAATGCTTGACAAGATTTGTATTTTCTTTCAATAATACAGACGAGCAAAAAATATATTAAGAAAAAGTGTATCACAACCCAAGGCTTGTAATGAAGGTGGCATTGTTCGAAAAAACCGTACTTACTTCACAATTTACAGAAAGGGACAAATAGAAGTTGAAAGTGATGTGATAGAAAAAAAAGTTCCAGTCGACATCAGAATAAACAAAATTTCATGTACTCAAAGTAAGTCTTCTTCGTGTTATACGCAATACATAGACATGTACAGTTTAATGACGTCGTTGTGAGGTTTTACAACTCCGATTTACATATCAATGATTTAAATTCTTAAATGTCTAAAGTATTTGAATGAATTGCCCTATTCCAGAATGTACTTGATTATAGAGGGTCTAAATACCTTTTTAAAAGTGTAAAAAGTTGTCAAGGATGCTACTGTTATCTGATCTTTCGCGCAACTATCAATTCCTAAACGTTATAGTGTTGAAAACAGAATACTAATATTGATTGAGTGTGATTGCACTTTCGATACTTCTTATGATCTTTTCCGCACAGATCCTGCAGTTATCTCCTACTTTTATTTTATTGCTCTAAATTTTGGATTTTGCAAATATTTCTTTTTCAAAAGGAGACGGTTATTCGTTGGTTGGTTTACATGTAGTTAAGTTCAATGAGAAACAGTTTAGTCTTTATTGAACAACATCTTTTAGTTATTTGATTATATAAATAGTGCATTCAAAGTACGAAATATAGAACGTTGCAAAATACTCTGTGATTTTATGTTTGATTAATATTAATTCTTCAGCCTATAAGGCAGACAAACAAAATATATAATATCTGTTCGAAAATGTTTTATTACATTTAAGATTATTCTCTCATTTAAAAGACATAGTACTGCAATCTTGATGTTGCATTAAAAAGAATCAAATTTATATTCATACTTCATACACTCTCTTTGCTGTTTAAAACGGTGGTTGGTATCGTGACAAAAAGCTAAAAATAAAATGTTAGAGCCACATTTAAGTGAGAAAAAAATGCTTATTATTTTTGAAAGTCTTCAGGACATACGAGGGATTATTAAAAAAGACTGGCTGGGACTGTCAATTGAAGAATTTTCAAACTATCAATTATTGTTATATATCACATTTAATCTGTAAACTTGATGAATTATCTAATTTGATAACGCAAATAGCTTGTACTTTACAGCGAATAAAAAAACATGTCAATGCACACACGGCGCAGTGCATAGAAATGCGCTGACTATAGGCGCTTTATGAAGCGTATATTTTACAATATGGCACAATTAGATTTTAAAATACGCCATTTTTGACGATGGCAGAAAAAATTACTTCATTTACAATAAACTACTTTTATCGTTGCACTCACAATTTATATGTCTCTTGAAAAACAAAACCTCGCATTGAAATTATGCCGTCGGAACGTCACGGAATTCGATCAATAAGAAATTGTGTCAATAGTAAAAGAGAAACTGACTAAAACGTAGAAAGGGATAATGGAAAAAGGGAAAAGATTAATGTAGCCACAGCATGGTTTTGATTGACATAAATGATTAAGAAAGGATGATTGAGAAAGTGAAAAAAAAAGAAAAATAAGGGAGAGGCCGAAAGAAATTTTCAAGGACGTTGGTGACGTCAATCGCCGGAAGAGACGTTTAAAATTGGCATGCGATTGACAACGGACATTATAAACGACGTTCGACAGTAGCTACTCTAACTAAGGAATTTAAGATAATAAATATTAATGCAATTGTTATCACACAGCTTTCCCTGCAGCGGAGGGTTCATTGCAGCGGCGATGGAGATTTTGTCGCAGAAGCGGTGGATAAAGGATGGCCGTTTGCTGCTGTCAGTAAGTTTAAAATTGAATTTTACTTTATGTTGGAGACACCTAGTGAGACTGAAATCCACATATGTACTTTTCCAACTTATTATACATACACGGTGCAATTCATTACCATTTATGCAACACTTATGTACAATTTGACGTGTGGTCGCTACTTTTACCTGTTTTAAGTTAAAACACGTACAAATGTGTGCAAAACGGCCATTTAAAGCACCAGCATCACATCATATGTATAATACGTGCACAAAACAACCATTATTTGGAATTCTTGAAAATTGTTATTGTCTTTTTGATAACATAATTGACAAAAAAATGATTACAACGCAGACGGCGGTGGATTCGATTGCAACGCAGTGCGGTGGTCCCGATGCCATTAATGTCTATTGTGAGGGTTTTGACATTACGCTTTTTTTCAGTTAAGAATAACCCTTTTCTTACGTTGGCCTCAGAGAAATGTTTCTTTTAGTGTTTAAAACAATATGATTATATATTATTAGTATCTTACACTGGCTATCGGTACAGACCGGAATGTCTAGCTGGAGGTTAACTATTTACTGCGGTAACGAGAATCTGCCGATCGGCCGTTAAACAGTTACCCGAGAGCAAATATTCCCGGCTGTACCGACAGTAAACGGTAGATAATCCTGTCTGATATTAAATATATCTATATAACAGTTATATATAGCTTTTTATAATACTGCACGTTTGTAACGTCGCTTTTCATGAATAATCGTGACGTTTATATACACGGCTACTGTCGATACATGAAGAAATCTTACCTTTTCTCCAAAAAAAAAATGATGCGTGCTGTATAATATATTCGTTATATAGATTGTTGACAGGATTATGGCCGTATATAAAAGGCTGTATGCAATTTAACCATCGCCTAACTTCTCGGGTTATATTTACAAACAGCCGTTTATATAGGGCCATATAACCTGTCAGCAATCTTTATAACTAATAATATACACGGGTGCTGTCAATTTATGACGAAATATTTTTTCTATAAAAAAATGCTTGCTGTATTATAAATTTGTTATGAAGATTTTTACGGGTTATATGCCGTATATAAACGATTGCAACAAAACCTTAGCTTAGCGGTTCAGCAAGAAACGTCATATAAAATGTTAAAATCTTTATAACTAATATTACAATACTGCACGTTTATTCAACGGAAACCGACGTAACAAGCGTACAGTATTTTAATAATATATAGGCAAAATAAAAGTTGTCCTACATATATTCTTGAAACGTGGCATGATGTTAGAATATGATTTGATAACATTTCAAGCCAAAACAGTTTAGGGGTCATCGATGTCATTTTCTGCACATGCATTTCATTTTTTTTTTACTTATTTGGGGTAATCTCAGGGGCAGATACACATGTAACTTATACATACGTCTGAAAATTATTTCCTTTTGTAATGTTTTTCAGTATATTTTTCCATACATTTTTGTATTTTCACCATGAAATATATATGTTAACTTTTTCAGAGGATGTAATTTTAATTCTTTAAAAACATAACATTTTTGAAATCACATACCATTTTCTTAGATAAATGTCACAAATAAAGCAAATTAAGAAAAACTCCATATTCTAATCTTACTAGTTACAAATACAGAGAAAGTTAGCTAATAGAAATAAGAAAAATGGATCTTATTAACTTTTCAAATATTAAACTTGTAAACGAGATCAGTGAATGGTTTTCTCTAATGCAAAGTTTAGAAAAAGTTTTAATTCTGACTCCAAATACGTCCTGAAATGTTATTGTTTCAGTCATTTTGTTAAGTTTTAACTGTAAACTCTATTTATTTTGGAAAAGTGATAAACGTATATTTTCTATTATTTAATTCATTTAAGTCTTGGTTGAATAAAGTAGTAATATTTTATCAAACGTGTTCAATAATTATGTACTGAACCTAAAGCGACCACGTACTTCACAGTCTGAGTTAGGCCTGGAAACTTAAAGACTGTTGTTTTCTTATTTCTCATATTATGTTTCTTTTTAACAAAATATAAGATTTTAAGATATATATATGAAATCTTTACATATACACATGATGCGCACTGTTTAAAACAATATCACTGTGGCTATTGGTCTACAAAAGCTCTTTTGTATCATAGGCAAAGACAAAAACACGTTCCATGTTGTCGCCACAGGAAACTCTTTTGTATCATAGGCAAAAATAAAAACACGTTCACTGTTGACGCAATAGGAAACTCTTTTGTATCACAGGCAAACTGCTCTCCAGATAACGCATTTTGAATGTATATGTATACAATTGACACATTTTCAATAGAAAGGTCTCCAAACTATGATACAGTTATGAATTGGTGTTCTCAGTATGGTAATATTACACAATGGCATTCAAAACTGAGATTGCTTTTCAAATTTAAGAGGCAAAATCTGTTAATCTTTACGGGATTTTCTATAACATGTTTGTTGTTCAACCTCGAACTCAAGGTCATTTTAAGTCCCAGGTTGAACGTATCCTATTCTACCAAAGATATTACAGTGGAAGGAAAATAGAAGCGTCACTCGAATATCTATTTGCATCAATAATCATATTATTTCAATTTAAGTAAAGAAACGCGTTTCTCTGATGTCAAAGAAAGAAAAGTTTTGTACTCTATTGAAAAATGAGTTATGTCAAGTAAATAACTGTATCGGGACAAACGCACTGCGTTGCAATTAAATTGACCGCCATCTGCGCTGTAATGAAGTTTTGTTTATTCTTTTTTTAAAAAATGCAATAGCACTTGTCAAAAGTTCCAAAATATGGTTGTTTTGCGCATTTATTATACATACCATGTAATGTTGGCGTATTTAGGAGTCGTTTTGCACACATGTATACGTGTTTAAACCAAAATTAGGCAAAAAGTGGCGTCCCCTCGTCAAACTGGCCAGAAGTGATTGCACAAATGACAATGAATTTTCACCGTGTGCGTGTACTAAGTTTAAAAAGTAGATATGTGGGCTCCAGTCTCAATAAGTGTTTCGAGTAAAATATTAAAGCATAAAGCAAAATTCAGTCAAAAACTTACCGACAGCAGCAAACAGCCAAATTTTATCCACCACTTCTACGACGAAATCTCCACCGCCGCTTCGATGAACTACCGCGTCAGTGAAAGCTATGGCCAGTGTGCTTATTATGTTCTTTGTTTACAATTGTATAAATCATTTTACTATTCTACGAAATGGTCTTATGGTGAAATATTTTTTTAACAATTTAACAGTCCCGTTCAAAATTGGTTATGCGTTATATGTATTTATTTTTTAATAATGATAATTTTTGTTCTCAGTTGTATTATTCGTTTATTTTCTCCTATGTATGATACATTATCATGCAGCAAAATAATGTTAATATATGTCATATAATGGTTTATTGCAAGTGGAAAGATTCCAGCAATTAAGTTACAGAAGGAAAAAGCGGAAGTTTGTGTCATTACAAGAGCTCATTTATAATCATACAGTCTATTACAGTACAGTATGATACCGACTTGTACAGAGACATGTTTAGGTTTTTGAGCAGCCGAAATCAATATGTGAAATACGTATTGGCCTTCTTATGAGTAAAGAGCTGCTCGCTAGCGATGTCGTTATCGTCATAATTTAAAGTCGTTTAAATGCACATTGCATTAACACATTTTGATTTGTTAATGTTTCTTCTTGGTACTTTGCGTTTTATATCGGGGATATATTCAGATTTATGTTCCGTGTATTTCTATGTAAATGCATCTTACATGATATCATCATAGGTTCATATCGTGATTAAATTATTAGGCATATAAAAAACCACCATTATAAGATTGTATGTCCTGAAGACTTAAAAATCTATTTCCATTTTTAGACATACATATATACATTTATAAGGAGGATTAAGCATATGCAATATTTTCAAGTGACATTCACAGGGACGCTGATCATTTCCACTACAATATAGTCTAGTTTAATCAGGATGATAACGCTTTATCAGAAATTCGTGCTTAATTTATAGGCGAGGCTTAGTATGCTAAGTGTTCTATCCCGTGATTCAAATTATCGAATAAATATTTTTAAGTAGATATATACAATAAATATTTTTAATTATATAATATATATTTTCAAACATACATCTAGAAAATTATCACACACATATATTTTTTATGATGAACCAATATTCAGTAGGATTGAATAAATATTATGGTACAGAATACAAAATTAGAGTTATACACTATAAATATTTGATATAGAACAAAATTTTAATTCATTGAATGTTGCAACGTTTAACATGCAATAGATACCCCACATAGAATTCTTTGTTTGAAGTAATTTTCTTCAAATACTCGTATAACAAAGATACATTTGTAACGAGTTTTCATAGACGAAATAATTTATGCATTAAAATATCAAATGTAAAGACTTTTAAAACAGGCGCTACAGAAAAATACGATGAAAATATGTATGTTTGTTATGGGGACAATACGACGATACCAAAATCTGAGGTATGTAAATATGATGTCGATGAAGCGGGTTATATGACTGGTTGTAGGTCAGGAATTCACCTGCAAGACTGTGGTAAGTAAAATGCCACAATATATGAAATACATTTAATATTTTAACGATTATATAAGTCTTTGTTAGTTTTACATACATTTGAATAACTGTTTTCAGTAAAATCTAATCTAAGATTAATAGTTTTGTCATCTTTTGAGAAACTCTTAGTAAAGATTTTAATATATTTCTATTCATTCTAAGTAATAACAGTTATAAACAGACCATCTGTAGATCTGAAATTATTCTACATTTCTGGTACAAATCATCTCCCACCCACATTATTAAAAGAAAATTGGTCTAAGTGGAAGTAACAATTATCTTGAAATTGAAATCGCTTACCGTTTATCAAATTAAAATCTAATGACCAATTACTTAATGAGTTTTGGTATTTACCAGACGTAACCCAATAGTTTTACGGTCAGACTTCTGTCCAAGTTTGACTCAATAGCTCAATGGGACTGTGACACCTCAGATTTCCAATGTTTAATGTAACTTTTATCAATACTGTCGGAAATTCCGTACCTGTCTTGTTATTTCATCAAAACTGTCAACCCTATTACAAAGATTAATACCAATACATATAATTTATAAAATGGTAGTGAACGGTACGTCGATCTGGCGAAAAGTCATTTTTCAATTTTGAATTTTACTTTTGTAATCTTTTGGTATGCATGGAAACATGCTTTTTTCCATGCTTAACCGTATATCAGTCATGAGTAAAGTCGTGCTTAAATGAAATTTGCAGGAAATGAATTATTAGTTATCTAAGTTCAAAAAGGTATTCCAACTCTATGAGACTCTACTGTAAAATGAGGAAGAACAAATCTGTTTAAAGATTACTTCTTATGAAATAAAACTATTTATTCATCATAACCGGAATTCAACAGTTAATCGTCTACAAAGCTATCAGGATTATATTATACTTACAATTATCAAGGTACTTACATTTCTGTTTCAGAGGATTTCGTTTGCCCCCCAAATACAGTTAAATGTCCAGATAGCTTTTGCATTGCTCTTCGATTTGTGTGTGACGGGATGGCCCAGTGTCCTGGTGAACAGGACGAACACAATTGCTGTATGTACTAAATGTTTATCCACATACGTTCTTGGAGTGTAATGACTTAGCAATTTCATTTTACGATATATATCATGCACTTATTCATGTAGAAAGTCCACATAAAATGCATGATGTTTTGTGTGTACTTTTCAGCATGTGTTAGTGGGGACAAAGAAGTTATCATTTTGATAGAGGATACAAAACAACAGACAAGTAGTAAAAAGGCCTCAGCATTATTAGCAAAACAATTCAAGCATGGAAACAATAAAGTTAGAGTACTTACCTACCAGGCGAAGACAAGATTTGACGACTTTCCTCTTAAACATCGACTGTTAGAAATACGCGAAGAAAACATTGATAGCTTCGATAAATTAAGTTCCGATTGCACATATAAGACTTTGGCTAGAAATTTTCTGCCATCTTTACAGTTTAAAAACGATGTAGGGAAGTTTCTTATTTTTATTGAAGATAGTGTTGAGTCATCTACAGTTGCTAGGATTATGTTTTCTAATATATATAGACAAGAATTTACCATATATCGTGTCATCAGAAATTTCAGCTTTTTGACAAACATTGATTACACGTACGAATTTGTAAAAGATGTACGCATCAATAAATGGAGTTCACTACATTCGATAGGATACAGGCATTTTCCAGAAATATGCAAAGGTTGGTTTGATAATGAATGTTAAGGCTTATATACATACGTCAGCTCTTAGCAAATAATTTTGTTGAAAACTTACATCCTGTTGAAAATAAATAATTAATTGTCAGCTAATGTTCAACCATCCCCATGGTTTTGTTTGCTTTCTTTCAATTTTAAGTTACAGAATTCTTACATGTACAGCTTGTTAATCGTCAAATGGTTTGTATATTATTGGCTCTTGTTCAGGTTGAACTATAAGTATCAAAAGGGATGCTCCGGCGTTTGTTGCCCGTCGTCATGCGTCAACATTTATATTTTTCTCTGAAACCGCTGGACTGATTTACTATAAATTTGTGCTGTAGGATCATTGTTACAGAAGCTAAAAATTATCAAAACCGTGAGACATTTTCTTCTTCAGAGCTAATTGATGGATGATCACAAAATCTTTGTCTGTAGCATTCTTAGGTAGTATTTTATCAAATATGCTCAAATTAATTTGACCGTTCCCTTTAAATAGTCTCTAGAGCTAAAATAGAAAAATAAAATCTCCTTCTTCTGAAGAAATTGATAGATGCATATCAAAATTTTGCATGTAGTATTCTTAGGTAGTATTTTATCCAAATTGCTCATATTAATTTGATTAGCACCTTATGGGGGCCTCTAGAGGCCATGGAATTTCTTCAAATTATAGTTTAATCAAGGGGAAAAATTCATGTTGGAATGTCTTTCATACATGTGAACATGTTATGCATTTTTCAAAAAAAAGCTATATTTTTATCAAGTAAAAAACTGTTATATTGAATCAATTATTACACTATGTGATTTCGTATCTGAACAGTATACATGTCTGCACAGTGTTTCTCGTTTAACATGTTAAAATATGACACTGACCCCAAACCTCAATTGACATGCACTATGGCAAAGTTCAATTGTATAGAACAAAAATATTTCTGGTACTATTTAGTGTTGTGTCATTACTTTTTTTTCCGGGTTTATTTTGTTTAGCTATGTAATAATGAAATAAAACAATCTTCTGTTTGTGTAAATAATTTTCACCTCTAGAAATTAGACACCATTGCATCATACTATTAATCTTTCTGCAGAGTTACTTGTAGGTTAAGAATTTTCTCTTGTGATTAAACTTAGGCCTAAATAAAGATTACATTTTGCTATGCTACCACAGCATCTGCATCTGGCATTCACCTGTGAGAGAGAGAGTGTGTGTGTGTGTGGGTGCGCGTGCGTGCGTGCGTGCGTGTGTATGTTTGTGTGTTATAAGGATTACATAGTGAACTTAAAAAATCTTCTTATGAAAAACCACTTGTCAATTTCAACCTAACTTGGTAGGATTGATCCTTTGGTGAAGGGCTGCCAAAGTTGTTTAAAGAGTTTCATTCCATGCAGAAATGTAGTTGTCGTGGCAACCAAAAGGAATTATAAGAATAAATTTTAAAAATCTTCTTGTAAAGACCGAAAAGGCCTAGAGCTTAGATATTTTGCATAGGGCATTGTCTAATAGACCTATACCAAGATTGTTCAAATTATAGCCATGGGGTCAAAATCGGCCCCAAGCTCGGGGTCATTGGTCTTCACTTGATGAACATATAGTAAAAACTTAAAATACCTTCTTGTCTAAGAGGTTTGATATTTGGTATATGATAGCATCTATAGGTCCTCTTCCAAAGTTGTTCAAATTTTACCTCTAGTGTCAAATTAGCCCCGCCCCGGGGTCATAGGTTTTCCTTTTATGTATATAGTAAAAACTTTAAAAAATTATCTTCTCGAAATTGACAAATGCCAGAGGTTAGATATTTTTCATGAAACATTGTGTAGTGAATCTCTAGCAAGATTGTTCAAATTATAGCCCTGGGTTCAAATTTGGCCCCGCCCCGGGGGTCATTGATTTTCAATATGTACATAATTTATAGTAAAAGAAATAATCTTATTGTCTGAAGGTACAAGTCATAGAGCTTTGATATTTGTTATATGATATCCTCTATAGGTACTAAACCAAAGTTGTTCAAATTTGCCTCTAGTGTCAAAATAAGCCCCGCCTCGGGGGTCATAGGTTTTCTTTATGCATGTATGTATATAGTAAAAACTTTAAAATATCGTCTTCTCTAGATTGACAAAGGCTAGAGGTTGGATATTTTGCATGAGACTTTGCGTAGTGAACCTCAAGCAAGATTGTACAAATTTTAGCCCTGGGTATCAAAATTGGCCCGCCCCGGGGGTGTCTGATTTTTCCCAATATACATATAGTAAAAAAATCCAAAAAATCTTACTGTCTGATGGTACAATGTCAAGGCATGTAGCTTTGAAAATTGGTATATGATATCATCCAGAGGTCCTCTACCAAATATGTTCAAATTGTTCCCCTGGTGTCAAATTTGGACCTGCGCGTGAGCATTGATTCTAATTATGTACACATAGTAAAAACAGCAACTAAAACAAATGTTTTCTGAATTGGGGAAAGCTTACAGCTTAGATTATTTGGCATGAAAACTTTGTTTGCGTGGACCTGTATGCAAGATTGTTTTTGAATTAATTCTCTTGGGTCAAAAATTCCGCCTTTGCCCAACGGGACATTGACCTTCTTCTTGTCCTTTGGTGGGTACAGCAATGAAAATTTGACCATGTGCACAATTGTAGTTGTAAAATTGAACTTTGATATCAGGTGACCTGTAGACTTTTGAATGATGTGACCTACTTTCTTGTCCCTTTTGATGTACAGCTCTTGAAATTTGAACCATGTGCACAGATTTGTATATAAAGTGAACTTTGATATTAGCTGACCTAGATTTTGACAAAGTGTCTTACTGTGTTGTCCTTGATGTACAGTCATTAAATTTAGGCTCTGTGACCTTTACAATTAGATTCACTAGACTCAACTGCATTGATATATACTCTGATCTTTTATTTGAATGACAATAGTTTTAACCACTTATCTGAAAATAAGAATAGATATGTCAGGGATCTATGCATTATGACAATGTTCAGTTGTATAGAAACAAAAAAATATAATCTGTTACTACACTTCTATTTAGTGTTGTATGAATGCGGTGGCATAGCATTATTTAGCACAAATGCGATCTTGATTCCTTAACCTTACTAACAAAGATGAGTTTGTATGGTTTTTTTTATTTAATTAAGTTAAAAGTTGCTTTTTAAACTTTTTTTCATTTTTTGATGAATTTGATTTAAACTTCCAATCATTTTTAGGACACACTGTTGAACCTTACATCTATTTCATGTGCGTAATTGAATCAAGGTAGAACGCGACACTTTGCGAACTTTTGAGTAGCGTTGAAAATTGGCATGCAAAAAGTTGACCATATTTCTGATAAGGTTCGTTGATTTTATTTCAATAGTTTCAGCCAATTTTCAAACACACGGCGTCAAAATTGACCACCAGAGCCCGTTTTTAAACATGACATAAATGCGTATCCTTGGCAACTGTTACGGGTATTTCAACGCCATTGGCAGACACAATATCTTAGATTTTACAGCATTCGACGGAAATTATTTTTTCCTTTAAGCTGATATAACATTTATTGTTTTACGCCGAAAAATGTTTGAAAAATGAAAACAAAAACAGTCAATTTTGTGTAAAATTTTACATTCAGTTTAGCCTCAATTTTCGGCTTTAAAGCCTCTTATTTAAAAATTCCTGAAATAAAGTTTTGATTTTTTTCTTTAAACGTCCTTTAAAATGTATACTTAGTCAAAATAACTAAAAAATTAGGGGTCACCGACTCAATTATTTCGGTACATGCGATATTATTTACCCACCCCTTGAGTAATTTTGTAACGAAATTCGACGTAATGCTATGAGACTTCAAAGTGCGGCAATAATGTTCAGCTTATCCGGAGAATTGTTCAAGAGCTTTCCTTATATACATAAGAAAAAACAACAACAATAATCCACTACAAATGCTTAAAATTTAAAATGAGACCTGACGATGAAAAAGCATATTTAAATTTAAAATCTTAGCCTGAGAATTAGGAGTTGATATTTTTCTTATTCATAACATACGCGCTATTTTTTACGAGCAAGTCACATTTTCTGTTTGATATATACTCGATTTTCTGAACAGAAACAAAGACTGGAACTCAGGCTAGTCAAGTCTAAATACAGGTACATGTCAATATAACGTGTTACTTGACAAAAAGGAACTGTCAGCAGTGAACGAACCTTGCTAGATATATAACAACAATTGTCTATCTATCATGGGCATTTTATTGAATTTATTATCGCCTTTCCACTTTGTGACATTTATGTTTGCTGAAAAAATGTACGAAAAACAAACAAATTTTCTTCTTGTTTTTAAGCATGATTATTAAGTTCATATGGAATTGTAAACAGACGAATCTATAGAAAATGACGCCAGGCGTTCAACGGCAACGCAAAAACTATTACAACAATTTGACAGGGTATATGCAAAAAAACTGTGCGAAATATTGACAAATTAAAATAAAAGGTTAATAAATGAAATTAAGTCAATTATATTAGCGTGAAGCAACAGTCAGGTCTGAAACGTTAGCTTAGAAGTGGGTGTTGGATTATACTTGTAGCACGTTCGATTCTACAAGTAAATAAACATCTTTTATACATTTCTCTCGTTTTGCTTATCATTTTAGAATATCATAATGTTAAAAATAACGTTTAATTGAGGATTCACCATAAACGTTGTATTAAAAACATCAATATCAAATCGACCTTTGCAAATATTCATTATTCACTGTATAGCCAAATATATTGTCGAGGTTATTTTGAACAGGAAACTAAAAAACAGTATTTTAAACATGAAATATAATGAAACGCTGTAAAAACACGTCTACGGATGTTTAGCATAACCTGAGCTAGATACTGCACAAAGGAGTGTTGAGTTGTAAATCTTTATACAAAATAGAGATATTTCAATATTTTATTGTAAGTCTTTTATCAGTACATGCTACGGGCACTGTAAAGGATCTGTCGATGTTTCATATGTTCTGTTCACCGACCTTTTAATCAGTATGCAATTGACATGTTAATAAAACATGGAAACATTTCATTTTACTCAAAGTTTTACTAATTAAAATGTTATTCTGACAAATGTCAAATCAGAATATTATTTCTTTCCTCTTGTAGAAAGTGGTTCACTCTGAAGTACATCTTTATTATCTGTTTTATAGACAAAATGTATATTTACAAGAATAAAAAGGTCATATTTTGTTAATATCTGACATTGTAATGAAAAGAATACGTATTTTAGTAAATACGGACATCATACAAAGTTCCCGTTTATTACGAGTGTACGGATCACGGTATATATTAGTAATATACGTATTGCATGGTATACGGTCCCGTTCATCTAAGTATTCAAATTTCACCTATTTTTGCCTGTCTATCTATAATATTCGGAATTTCGTACCCTTAACGGTTCGTACCCTGTATCCATATATTTTCCAAAGTGGTCATAATGGCGTAAAATTCTGTGATAACGTGACTTTTATCCAAAGGGGTGGGGGATATAAAGGCATGTGTGACGAAAAAATTAAGTCTGTGACCCCCTATATTTAGTCATTTAGACTGAGTATACATTTTAAAGGACGTTTAAAAAATAAATCAAAGATTTATTTCAGAATTTTTTTAATGGGCCGCTTTAAAGCCAAAAAATGTGGTTAAACTGAACGTCACATTTTACACAAAATTGACAGTTTTCTTTCCATTTTTCAAACATGTTTCGGCATAAAACAATAAATGTTATATCAGCTTAAAGGAAAAAATAATTTCCGTCGAATGCTGTAGAATTTTAAGATATTTTTCTCCGCCAATGCCGTTGAAATACCCGTAACAGTTGCCAAGGATACGCAACGACGTCGTGTTCAAAAACGGGCTTTGATGGTCAACTTTGACGCCGTGTGTCCAAAAATTAGCTGAAACTATTGAAATAAAATCAATGGAACCTAAACAGAAATATTGTCAACCTTTTGCAAGCCAATTTTCAAGACGCTACTCGAAAGTTCGCAAAGTGTCGAGTTCTACCTTAAGATATCAGTTGAGCTGTTCTTAATATTTTCGAAACCAATTGACCTACTTTCTTGTTTTATTTTCATTTTTGATGTACAGACTTGAATTTTTTCTAGGGTTGTAATTATTGATTCTAAATTGAATTTTGCTAATAGCTGTCCTACATTTAATATTTTGATATATTTTTCAAAAAAATTGGATAGGGGTGTAATTTTTTGTTTTAAATCTTATTTTGATATCAGCCGACCTACTTTGATATTTTTGCTTGACCTTGTTTCCCGTTCATTGATATCCGAACTTGAAACTTAGACAATGGGTGCAATTTCTGACCCAAAATTGAATTTTTTATATCTCACCTACTATTGATATTACTAATATCGTTTGTACAACTTTCTGCTTTGTGACATAAAGGCATATATGTTGGACCAAGAGTGTAATTTCTGATGCTGAATTGAATTTTGATATCAGCTGACCTACTTTTGATATTTTTGATATCATTTTACCTATTTCCATGTTGTTGATTTTTACATACAAACTTGAAATTTTGATTATGGGTGTAATTATTAATGTTAAATTGAATTTGATATCAGCTGACAGCAAATTGAATTTTGATATCTGCTGACCTACTTTTGATATAATTGATATCATTTTACCTACTTTCTTGCTTTTAGACATAAAGACATGGAAATTGGACCAATAATTTACTTTCTGGTGCTGAATTGAATTTCGATATGAGCTGACCTACCTTAAATAGTTATTTTTATATCATTTGACCTATTTTATTGTTTTTGACATACAGACTTGAGATTTCTGAGGCTGAATTGAAAGTTGATATCAGCTGGCTTACTTTTGATATCTTTGATATAGTTTGTCATATATTTATTTTTTACGTAGAGTTATATTACCATTTAGAATGTATAAATAAGCTTTATAAATTTCTGTGTTCCCAAACTTAAAACTTCAAAAGTCTACACTTTACATATTTTCCATGTTGCATCTGTATATAGTCATTCACAAAAGTTATAACAATTGCTCAATCAAAATTTATCCTGCTCTAGTGGTCATTTATTGTACATTTATTCTACATAGTCTCATAGGAACACACTTGCGACATAGATATTTTTAACAAAGCCTTTCAAAAATATTAGGACAAAATATTTTCATTTATACTGTGAACCAAGACACAATGGGTCAGGTGTGTGAACTAAGCCCATATTGGCCCTCTTGTTTATTTGGGGGAGAAAACCAAAACACTCAGTGTTGTGAAACTATATAACTAGAGGGGCAAATTGATGTTTAGCTGGACTTGCCTCTCGCAAGTTTATTTGAATAATTAATTCTAATAATGAAAAACATTTGTTTCTAAGGCCATCTTGGCCCTCTTGTTTATTTGGGGGAGAAAACCAAAACAATCAGTGTTGTTAATCTATATAGCTAAAGGGGCAAGTTGAAGTTTATGTGGACTTGTCTATCGCAAGTTTACTTGAATAATTAATTCTAACACTGAAAAATATTTGTTTCTGGTGAGCAAATTCCGGGTTATCATGGTCCTCTTGTTGTATTGGACTAATCATGGTGTCTTTCAAGTTAAATGCAATCTTACAATTGGACTCTATCATAAATAGTTAGGCATTTATTTCTTTCAGATATGCAATGTATATTTGTTAATGTTAATAATATCTCTTTAATTCTTTTATACACTTCATTTTACTTCCTTGCAATATTTTTTTCAATCTACCTGCAATAAATGCTTAATGAGATAAAAACGCGATTCAGAAAGAATGTCCAAATGGCAAAATTAAAAATGTTGTAGGTTTGGTTTGATTGAGCCTGTCCATTGACGGTTGTTGCTCGTACAATTCAATTTATGCCCCTCACACCAGACATCGTAAACTATCAATGAATGTCTATATACTTGTGTGCTTCAATACCACAAACATAAGTCTTTCAAGTTAGGAAAATATTTTTTTTATATCATCATCAATTTTCCTTTTATTTTCTGTACAGAGGTCTCACATGTGCCGTGTGCTGGTGGTTTTAGGTGTTTATCCAGTAAGCAATGTATACCTCTTCACCAAGTATGTGATGGCAAAGTTCACTGTATGAATAAAGATGACGAACATATGTGTGGTTTTAGATGTCATTATAGATGCAATTGTGTAGACAGCGCGGTTGATTGCCGAAAAGCTAGTTTAAATATTTCAGATATACATGATCTGTCAAGGAGAACTCGAAGCGCCGACTTAAGCTATAACCATGGAATTAAAGATATTTTATCAAAAGGAAACATTCATTTCCCTTTCATGTTGTTCCTTGATGTGTCAAACTGTCGTATAGAGGTTGTAAGCAGTAACGCATTTTCAGACATAAACAATTTGTTGAAACTTAACATTAGCCACAATATAATAAAAAAACTTTCTGACAACGTATTTAGAGATCTTCGACACCTAGTCCAGCTAGATCTTGATGGAAATTCAGAATTAGAAGAAATATCTGCTTCAGCATTTCAAGGTTTACAAAGTATTAAAACTTTAAGAATATCGGGAACGAAATTAAAGAAAATCGCAACCTTAACATTCTCAAATTTGCAATTGGAAAGTATTGATATATCAAATAATGAAATTCGTAAAATTGAAAATTTTGCTTTTAAAAATACGTCGGTTAAAAAGATCAACTTTGAAGGCAACAATATACTTGAATTCCATCAGTTAATTTTTTCGGATGTTGCTGCTTTGATTGAATTACGTACACCGGCGTATAAATTTTGTTGTATACGTCCTTGTTATGTCAAAGAAAGTAACTGTTATCCGCCAAAGAATGAGTTTTCATCTTGTGACGACTTAATGAGACATCCAATTCTGCAGGCAGTTTTATGGCTGGTTGGAATAGCTTCATTACTCGGAAATCTCGCATCAATTGTCTACCGTGTTGTGTATGACAGACAACGACTTAAGATTGGTTATGGAATATTTGTTACGAATTTGGCATCTGCAGATTTCCTTATGGGAATATATCTTATTGTAATAGCGTTTATCGATACTATTTATAGAGGCAGGTAGGTCTTTTTTCTTTTACAATTTTATCATATTTTACATTTAAGATTGCTAAATTATACATAATAAAAGTCTTAGTCAATGTCAAATTCAGGATCTAATCTCTTTTACAGGTATATTTTTATGGACGACCAATGGCGAAACAGTATATGGTGTACTCTAACCGGATTTTTGTCAACCGTATCGTCTGAAGCAAGCGTCTTCTTCTTATGCCTTATAACAATTGATAGACTTCTTGTTATCAGATATCCTTTTGGACACGTAAGGTTTACACCAAGGAGAGCAAAAATTTGCTGTTTAATTTGCTGGGTCATTGCAGTATCTCTCGCGGTGTTTCCTATTTTCCACACAAGCTATTTCAAGAACATGTTCTACTCCAGATCTGGAGTATGCATTGCACTACCGCTGTCACGTGATAAACCTCCGGGCTGGATGTATTCCGTTTCAATATTTGTTGGCTTAAATTTTGGCACCTTTATCCTTGTTGCATTTGGTCAGTTATCAATCTTCTTAGAACTTCGAAAATCTAGCATAGGTGGCAAGAAAACACAGCAATCAAGACAAAGGGATCTGCAAGTAGCAAAAAATCTAATCCTTGTTGCAACAACCGATTTCCTTTGCTGGTTTCCAATAGGACTAATGGGTAATATAATAAGTATATACCGACCTCGTTGTTTTATGCCGAACAATAAGATAGAGTTAACAATTGCTTATACTCTCAATTATAAAACTATCATTTTTGTTGGGAAATGCATAGATCCCTGACCTGTTAAACTCTTTTTATCAGAAAGAATTCTATCACAACATATTTGTGAACAATAGAGCCAATGTCTATTTTTCGGTTAACTCTATTGGTATTAAAATAAAGGTCAGTGTAGGAATCTATCAATTGTAAACAGTTTTCAGAAAGATCATTTTTGATATTTGCTGACAAAAAATCAGTTTTATCGCGTTCGCTATTTAAAAAAGAATATCTGCATGCCAATTTCTATTGACTGTTTAGAAAATGAAATGATGTGTTATAATGTATATTTAAACAAAAATTTATAATATCGACCTTAATCAATCAGTAATACGGAAAACATGTGCGTGTTTTCATAATTTCTGATTTATTGCTTTGTTACTTGCACACAATGCAAATTAAAGTGTCTTCAAAGCGTGCTAACGCAAATAAGAAAGAATACTTTATATATGTTATTTATTTCCAAATTGACGATATAACTATATACCCGATCAAATTGAACGAAATATCTTATTTTGAGAATGCAATTGGTATAATTCGTTAAATTCTTAGATGAATCACTTGATATAATCTTAAAATAAACGAATAAGAATCCTTTATTAAAAAACTGTTATAATGACATTTTATTATAGTTGTCAATTCAAATGTTATGTTTTTTCGAGATCTGTTCGAGGTAGGATAAATTTTCAAAATATACATTTTTTTTTCAAAAAATAACATCTCGTTTTCAGTAACGAATCAAAATCGAAATATTTATCACCTATCTTTGATAGTATTGGTAAAATGGTTTTCTTTTCATAAAAAAACGACGATAATGAGACATATTATCTCTATATTCCAGGGATTATGTCATTGAATGGATACTCAATCTCTGGTGATGTTTATGCGTGGACAGCAGTGTTCATACTTCCTTTGAACTCGGCGTTAAATCCATTTCTATACACACTTTCGGCTATAATTGGAAAAAAGGTACCAATTCTATAAATTTTTATTATTTGTAGTGTTATTCATAATGATTTTTATAACATATTTTGTTAAAACTTAACTGCTTGAAAACCTTAAAAACGATGACTTATTTGACAGGTCACAAACGTTCCGAATTCAAACCTCATTATATTTATGTCATAAATTACAAGTTTATATGTATTGAACATTTAAATATCTACTTATGTTTTTCAGACTTTTAATCCACGCACATGTTTTCCGTATTACATGCAGAATTGAAATTGAGAGAGGTATGCTTGCGTTTCATTAAAAAAGGTTGTCTTTCTTTAAAAATGTGATAATTGCTCATGCTTACTTTTATGAAGACATTATTTCGATTCCATTTTTTTAATTTTATATTATGGGACGTGTTTAGCTTGTGTTTTAAAGTGCATATCACTTTATTTTTCTGTATGTGCCATTACTCACATGCACTTGTATTAGCAAGTATTTGCTCAAGTGATGGATAATAATCCTTGTATATAAAGTACTGTAATATTCATTTATGAAAATAGAATTATTATGAATTTCCCGTTTTACTAGCTTTTAAGCATAGAATGCGTGAATATAAGTATAATTGTCATGTTTCATAGAAATTCAAAGCGTTGTTGGTATTTTAGTTGAACACATTCAATTATTTAAAGACAGTATCGATTAAATAGACGATTTGTATATATTGCTTACATTTACATTGTATATTACATTGTATGTTATATATATTTTTATAGACGACGTCTATATATTGAGATATAAAGTAAAGCAAGATCTTTAGAAATGATAAAACAAATAGTCTGTAAATCATTATAGGTAAACATTTAAATAACAATGTTTCAAGACATGAAACTGGCCAGTACAGGTGTCAAATGTCTATTAGATTGATATTTGCTTTATAACTGAAACTTTGAATTAAAAAAAAAGAAAAAAAAAAAAGAATACATAACCAGATATATTTCCTTAAGACTGACGTTTAAATCAAATATTATTTAAGCATATTGAAGAATGTAATAAAACGTTGAACATCAGTACCCTTTGAAACTTGAAGCACATTTACATACGTGATGTCACCTTATTGCCAACGTCTAGTGTCCGGTTAACTTTCTCACCGTTATCACACTTTTAGGCAAACGTACCAATTTATGTCTGTTAGAAAAAGCTGCAGTGTGTTAAATCAGGGAGAAAGTTTATCTGCTATTCATCACATCATTCACATTTTGCAGTAATCTAAAATTTCGATACATCCGTACTTAAAACAATGACTTGCGTGCGAGTTCATTCGACCAGAACCGCTCGTACCATTTATAGACATTTTTTTCGCAGTTTGCTCATGTATATGTATCAAGCTTTTTAAGCTTGTTTAAATGTTTTTTCTAGCATGTGTTTACGTAAACAACCGGACAAAATTGATTGTCATTTAAAATTCTATTCAAAAAATGACCGTTTATCACTTTATTGTTTATAGTTTTTGAAATTTTCGAAATGCCGCGCTAAAGTTAGATACGCTTTCGGCAAATCAAATTGATTATTTATGAATTTAGAAATGCAAGATTGCAAGATCATGAGGAATGTTGAAACATATTTTTCAAGATTAAAAAATGCGTTATAAAAAAATCTTTTTTTTTAGAAAGAGGTTCGGCTATCATGCAGTACACCGATTTTAGTCGATCAGTTAGAACTAAACGAGAAATTGTGCAAGTTGGGAAGACAAGAATGATCAAGGATGTTCTTGATGAAAACATGTCTGTAGCAAGTGTAACTGCAATATCTTATCAACTTGCCAATTATCTAAATCTTCTTCATAATTCATCCATAACCGTTGAGAATCTTTCAGAAACCAACACTTTCATCCGATACAGAAACAAAAAGGTAAGGCACACAAATTATGCAAAGCTATCTGATAATACAACAATTTTAATACACATTTTAAATTGATTTGGTTCTACTTTCGTTTCCGACTCATTGTGCCATTAAGAACATGTTTTATAAAGCCTTATAAGGCGATAACATTTGATTTCTAAATTTTAGTATTTTCGTTTTAGAAAAGGTTACGTTGAGCAGGTTTTTGTTTAACGCAAAGTAAACACATACACACGCAATGAGTTGAAAATATTTCTTTAGCTGTCTGAAGTCAAAGGGATGCTCTTAAAAAATATTGATTGTAATTTTTCTAGATTTAATTAAGCTATTTTACTTCTTCACAAGAATATCGTCTTGTGTGTACATAGACGAATGATGTGTATGTATTCGTGTATGTGTGTATCAGACATTAAACAAATAGTATACTGTGGCACATTTAGATTATGGCTTTTTAAGACTACTAAAAATTATATCATGATCTCTTGTTTCATTTAAACAAACTAAGATGATTTAATGTTCTGCTCTATCGCCACAGGCAAAAAGACCAATTATTGTTCTGGATACGAAAATGACCCTTGTGGACGACGATGAAAAGAAAGTAAATAATATATATCAATATGGATGTCTTCTTCGAAAGATGATCGCAAAGTGCAAATCGAAAGAATAAATGCTTCCGAACAAGTGTAAAACGTGTGAACATTGTTTCTAAAGAAGACAGTCTTGAATAACATGAAACGGTTTGTTGATTGACGTATAGAAATATACGTTATATTGAAGATTAAGGACATGAAATAAAAGAACCTTTCCCAAAAAAATCGAATAATACTTACATTACGTGAGCGACATGTTGTATAGTGCAGACAAATGTAGTTAAATTGATTGTTTGTTTGATAATTGTTAGTATATGTGTTGTTTAAGTTGTCTAAGTTTTATAAATTTAGTATGTGTTATTTATTGTTGGTATACTTTTTTGATTATTGAATATGGTAATTATAACACTGTTGTTGTGAGAATTTATTACTTATGTTGTCACTGACGTTTAACTCTGATTATAGTTCAAGATAGTCTTTGAGGTCTCATTATTTTGTTCTTTTTATACTGATCGTTATATTGAAGATACAGGAAATGAAATAAAAGAACTTTTCCCAAAAAAATCAAATAATACTTACATTACGTGAGCGACATGTTGTATAGTGCAGACAAATGTAGTCAAAAACTGATTGTTTTATGATTATTGTTAGTATACGTGTTGTTTAAGTTGTCTTAGTTTTATAAACTTAGTAAGTGTTATTTATTGTTCGTATACTTATTTTTGATTATTCAATGAATATTGTAAACATAACACTGATGTTGTAAGAATTTATTACTAATGGTGTCACTGACGTTTAATTCTGATTATAGTTCAAGATAGTCTTTGAGGTCTCATTATTTTGTTCATTTCATCGTGATCGTTATATTGAAGATTAAGGAAATGAAATAAAAGAACTTTTCCCAAAAAAATCAAATAATACTTACATTACGTGAGCGACATGTTGTATAGTGCAGACAAATGTAGTCAAAACTGATTGTTTTATGATTATTGTTAGTATACGTGTTGTTTAAGTTGTCTAAGTTTTATAAATTTAGTAAGTGTTATTTATTGTTAGTATACTTATTTTTGATTATTGAATATTGTAAACATATAAGTTTTATAAATTTAGTAAGTGTTATTTATTGTTGGTATACTTTTTTTAATATTGAATATTGTAAACATAACACTAATGTTGTGAGAATTTATTACTCATGGTGTCACTGACGTTTAACTCTGATTATAGTTCAAGATAGTATTTGAGGTCTCATTATTTTGTTCATTTTATAGTGATCGTTATTTTGACGATTAAGGAAATGAAATAAAAGAACCTTTCCAAAAAAATCAAATAATACTTACATTACATGAGCGACATGTTGTATAGTGCAGACAAATGTAGTTAAAAACTGATTGTTTTATGATTATTGTTAGTATACGTGTTGTTTAAGTTGTCTAAGTTTTATAAATTTAGTTAGCGTTATTTATTGTTCACATTGAACTTGAAGGTAAAACGGTTTCCGATCAAAAACTTAAGAATGCTTAGGGCTAGGAACTTCAAACTTGGTATGATGATTGATCAAGATAGTCTTTGAGGTCTCATTATTTTGTTCATTTTATTGTGATCGTTATATTGAAGATTAAGGAAATGAAATAAAAGAACTTTTCCAAAAAAATCAAATAATACTTACCTTACGTGAGCGACATGTTGTATAGTGCAGACAAATGTAGTTATAAACTGATTGTTTTATGATTATTCATAGTATACGTATTGTTTAAGTTGTCTAAGTTTTATAAATCTAGTAAGTGTTATTTATTGTTCGTATGCTTATTTTTGATTATTGAATATTGTAATTATAACACTGTTGTTGTGAGAATTTATTACTCATGTTGTCACTGACGTTTAACTCTGATTATAGTTCAAGATAGTCTTTGAGGTCTCATTATTTTGTTCATTTTATAGTGATCGTTCGTGCGTGCTTGAAATAGTGTCATATGTCCGTTTATCTAAAATATCTATTCGCCTACATAATTTTAGTATTTACGTTAATCTGTGTTTTGATTATTTGCAATGTAAATTAACTTAATAGTTTTTTTTCTGTATTTGTCTATGATTTGATTGTATTTGTTATTTTTTGTCAGTTGTTGATATCAAATATTGAAAGGAAAATTTTGATGACATTCAGTTATCGCTGTATAAATTAGCGTCACAAGACCTTTTTGATATTTGTTTTTATTTTTATTCGTTAGTTTTAATTGTAACAATTTCTCATTTTCTGAACAATTATGCCCCCTCTTCAAATATTAGGTGGTATATTGCTTTGCACTTGTCAATCAATCGGTCTGTCGGTCCGTCGGTCCGTAGACCAAATGGTTTCCGAGTGATAACTAAAGAACCTTTAGGCCTAGTAACTTCAAACTAGGTATGGTAACTGGTCATGACCAGTAGATGACCTCTATTGTTTTTGGGTCAAAGGTCAAGGTCATTTGATATTGTAGGTAAAAACGAATTTCCGATCAATAACTAAAAAAGCCTAGACCTAGGAAATTCAAACTTGGTATGGTGATTGGTAATGACCAGCAGATGACCCCTATTGATTTTGGGATCAAAGCTCAAGGTCACATTGACCTTGTATAAAAAAAAACAGTTTCCGATCAATAACTTAAGAACACTTAGGCCTAGGAACTTCAAACTTGGTTTGGTGATTGTTTATGACCAGTAGATGACCCTTATTGGTTTTTGGGTCAAGGGGTCAAAGGTCAAGGTCACTTTGACATTGTAAGTAAAACAGTTTTCGATTAATAACTTAAGAACGCTTAGGCCTAAGAACTTCAAACTTGGTATGATGATTGGTCATGACCAGTAAAAGACCCCTATTGATTTTGGGGTTAAGGGGTCAAAGGTCAAGGTCACATTGACCTTGTAAGTAAAAACGGTTTCTGATCAATTACTAAAGAACGCTTTGGCCTAGGATCTTCAAACTTTGTATGGTGATGGGTCATGACCAGTAGATGAGCCCTATTAATTTTTGAGTCCAGAGGTCAAAGGTTAAGTTCACATTGACCTTATTGGTAAAAACGAATTTCCGATCAATAACTATAAACGCTTAGGCCTTGTAACTTCAAACTTGGAATGGTGACTGATCATGACCAGTAGATTACCCCTATTGATTTTGGGGTCAAAGGTCAAGGTCATATTGACCTTGTAGGTAAAACGGTTTCCGATCAAAAACTTAAGAATGCTTAGGGCTAGGAACTTCAAACTTGGTATAATGATCGATCATGACCAGCAGATGAACCCTTTTGATTTTGGGGTCAAGAGGTCAA